AAAACATATAAATAATTGAGTCATAATGCAATTATTTTTAAGGATTTTGGGAATTGAGTCAACAGCAAAATAATTTATGCCACATGTATAATCTAAATAATCTAAGTGATCTAATTATAATTACAAAAATTGGAATTAAACAGAATTATATAAAATTGTATAAAGTTTAAGATATTATTAAAAATAATAATAAATTATATCTTATTTATTAAATTTAATATAAATCTAAGAATCGAATATAAAATTAAAAACAATTATTAGAATTCTTAAATCTAATCAAGCATGTAAGGCATATATGACAGAACTGATATATTTTATCTATTGTTTATTTCTATTTTTATATATTTCAAACATATATAAATAGGATAATTATTTTTCTTAATTGTTTAAGAAATTTCTTAATTCTTTTTAATTCTCTTTAATAAAATACAACTTGAAATATAAATCAAATTATTGTATTTCTTGCTTTGTAAATAAATTTTGTTTAATTTCTTTACTTAATTAATATTAGTATATTATAACTGAGACTATTTTTTTCTAAATTAAATAGTTCTTTGTTACTATTGTTTATTGATCTATTAAATTTTAAAATTTATTAAATAGGTTAATAACATAAAAAATATTTTAAGATTAATTGAATATAATATAAATTAAACATTTAATAAATCTATATATAAAGAATATTTTAATATGTTTGTTTTTTATAGATATTAAATTAGAAACATATATTTCAAAAATATTTATTTTTTTAAATTTAAAGAAAAATTATTATAAAAAAAATTTTTTTAAAAAAAACTTATATATAGAAGAGTTTTTTTTTCTAAATATTGGTTTTTTATTTAACATATTTAATATTAATTCCTATTTAAATTTATTATTAAAACTTGAAAAAATATAATTAATTTTATTTTAAAAAAATTTTTTGTTTTTAATAATAATAAAAATCAATAAAAAAAAATCAATTTAATAAATTTTTATTTTTGATTTAATAAATTTTTTTTGAGAGGGTTTCTTCCATAAGTAAATATTATTTCTTTATTTAATATTGTATATAATATAATATAAATCATAAAAGAAACAATATTTCTTTTATTATTTCAAAAAAGTTTAATACTAGCTTGCTTATTTAGTATTATCTAACTAATATTGTAAAACATTTCAAAAGCAATATTATAGTACTAGATAAAGTTAAATAGCAATTATATCTATCAACTTAGGAAATTTTGTGAAATCTTTTGATTTTTTGAATATATAATAATTGAAAAAAAAATAAACATAACTGTAATTAAAACTGTATCAAATAAACTATAAAATTTATAAATAGAAAACTAATTATTTCTTCAAAAAAGCCTCTGAACAGGCTTATAATTCCATCTCTCTGACTTTTTAGTTACTATAGATAATAAGGTATATGTAAGATTGTTTATTGTTATAGTTGTTAATGAACATGTGATTGACACTGTTGTTGTAATTGTTGTTGTAATACAAAATCGATTTGAACAGATTTGATTTTTGTTTTAATTTTTAAGCAAAATCTGATTGAATGATTGAGAAGTGCTAATTATCTATAGGAAGTAAGCTGATTTCAGTTTTTTGGTCAGGAAAAAATATTGAGGAATTTGGGATAGTACATTATAGTGAAGTAAAATTTACGAGTTAATTTGAAACAAACAATAGATTCACTAAGTCTGTTTAAGTATGTGTTTTGAAAAATACTTGTTTTAACAAATATGATGATAATGATGTAAATAGTTTTTATAATAAAATAAGAGTAAGAAAAAATGCAAGAGAACAAAAAAAATAGAGAACTACTACAGGTTTTTTCTCATGTAACCAAAGGATAAATAAGACTTCCAAACTTAAATAGACTTTAATCAAAGATTTCATTCTATTGCATCAGTTGTTTTGAGAATTTTTGAGTTTCTAAACTGAGGCTTACTTGTAATAATGAGTGTAAAACATTTTTTCTTGCTTAAAATTACTATAAAAGGAAAATTTTAAAAAAACAGATGTGATCAGGAGATAGTTTTTATATAACTTTTTTTGATTTATTAAATTTTGATTTATTTATTTATTTTATATTTACTGTATATGGTTTTAATAAATTTGAAATTTATTATTAAAAATTTTATTATTATTATTATTATTATTATATAATATTACAGTATTTTTATAAATATAGCTTTTGAATTATAAAAAAACTCTTTCTGCTGATTCCCTTGCCAACACAAAAAACAGATGTTCCAAAGAACTTTTATATTTCTTTATAATATAATATATACACTTTCTTTAAAAACATCAATATCTAGAGGCTATAGCTTCTTCCTTCTTGTTTCTTTCTTTCTTTGATACAAACTCCCTATATTTCAGCAAGTAAATATAAGAAAAACCTATCTACAAAGTCAAAGGCAAGAACATTTTGTTAGGAAAAAGAACTTGTAAAAAAAATACCCTCTTCTCTTCTTTCAGAAATTCAAGATTCAAGAAAAGATTGATATAGGCTTTTGAAACTCTTTTCTCATTTTCTTAAGTCTCTATTCTATCCTTTCAGATGTGTATACTTTTTTCTGGTTTTTTTGGAAAATTTTGCCTACCTCAGTTTGACTTTGAATTTTTGGTTACATCAGAACTTCTGAATAATGATTGACTAGAAATTTGGACTGGTTGATCTACATATAGCAAGAAATATAAACAAGACATATAACTCCCATGTGTCCCATTTTATACAACAATAAATCCAATGATACCATTGGATATAGTGAAAAGAGCAAGATGACGAGTTGTTCGTTTTGTCAAGATGTGTTATGATGCTTCTTCCTCCTCTCTTGGATTGGTTTCTTTTCTCTTTAAGATCAAAAGAAATCTCATTTTAATCCAGTAACAAGCTTTCTTCATTGTTGATTATCTTGAGAAGACATCAAACAATAATTCCCTAAAGTATAAGTCTTGTTCCAAGCAATAATTCCTTATGGAAATAAGACTTGTTATAAGTACCTTGAATGTTCTTGGTTAGCAATGGAATAGTGAAATTAAATGATTTGCCTAGTTGCAGGTAGTGATAAAGGATTTATTTTGATGGACCAAAGTTGATATTGAAGGATTTTTATTTACCAGAATAAACTTTTCAATTATTTTTTTTATTCCCCTTTTTTTTTTTTAAAAAATAAAATTTTTTTATTTTTTAGGATGACAAGTTCATGTTGGAGTGACAGTTTGAATATAGGTTGGCTGAAATCTTTCAAGATATAGTCTTTGATACCTAGTCTTGAAAGAGAACAACTTTTATCATTCCTCATTATTACATTTAGAGAGTTTAGATTTAGAAAGTCTAAGATAGTTAATATCATGCAATAATAGCTTAATAAACCTACTCCCTTGTAGTGAGATAGTTAGTAAATAGCTAAATCATATGAGCAACATGGTAATCTTGATACTAAGGATTCAAGGATCATATACAAATCTAAATTTATTAACAGGTGTTCTGCAATCTTATGTGCTAGTTTAGCTTTAGTATAGTATCATATATATTGTACTACTGTTTTCCAAAATTGGATGAATAAATGCAACTCTTGCAGCCTGATTAAAGACAAAATATATATATATATACAGTATATAGCTTTTGAATTATATTTAATATAACTTAAATAATTATAATAAATAATTTTAATTTTTTAATTTAATACATACATATATTATTATAAAGAAAATTTTAATTGAGAATATTATTTTGAATTAAATATTATTTCCAATTATTTATTGTTATTACTTAATAATTCTATTATATGGTTTTTGAAAAATAATAGAATTCAATTCCCACATAATTTAAAATAAAATTTAGCAATAAAATATTGTACTTAATTATTATTTAATAATATTGTTTGAGATAAAAAAATTATCTTTTAAAAAATTTTTTAAATCTAATTTTATAAATTTATTTTACATTTTAAAAATATACTAATGTTATGCAACAATTGTTTTATTATTATATAATAGAATAAAACTCATAAATTAAACATTAAAATTAGTTTAATATAATATAATAATTTCTTTTTTAAATATTATTTATTCTGTCGTAAATATCTAGAAAATTTCTATTACATTTATTTTAACTAACGAAAATAATTTATTAAGCTGAATATCAGATAATAGTCAACTTTTAAGTAAGCAAATTATGGCAATTTAATACATTGACATATTGACATACTAGCTGATATCATTAATACTGCTCACTTCTCGACCAAACATTAAACCAAGTTCAAACTTATGCCTTCCCATACATACGATCAATGGCTTCCTTATACTTAATTCCTATTTCCTTACGTTTAATTTTATGCGCAGCAGTCAGAAGACCCTATATAAAACAATAAGTTAGAATAATAAATCATATATGAAATTCAACAGTAAATGAATGCATACATTTTGTGGATTCCATTCTTCGGGTGTCAATGTAACTGCAGATAATAATTCGACAGGCTTTAAATTTGATTTCTTAGCTTGAGTAAGACAAGCCTGCAAGACAGCTCCAGTTATTTCTTTATTTTCACATAATTGCTCAAAACTTAAACCACTTATGTTTTTTTCTTTGGCGAGATTAAGAATCTGAGCTTCCACCGGAAATATTAAGGCCACTGGGCGATTTTGAAGTGGGTCCGCATGTACGCAAATATTGGATACAAAGATTGTAGATTTATAAATGGATTCAAGTTTTTCCAAGGCAATATATTCACCATGCGACAACTTCACCAAATTTTTCTTTCGATCAATGATTGCCAATGTTCCATCTTCCTGTAAGAGAAACATCATTTATTATAACAAATTAAAAAAAAAAAATTATTTTTTTTTTAGATTAAAACCAATCAATAATATACATACAAGCCATTCGCCTATGTCCCCTGTTTGAAGCCATCTGTCTTCAGTAAATGTCTCTTTTGTGATTTGTTCATTTTTGTAATAACCTGATGTTACACAACCACCACGAATCCAAATTTCACCCTGAGGTCGTGGTTTATTTTTGGATAGATAACCTGCATCTGGAACATCTACCAACTTAATTTCTAAACATGGAACCGGTGCACCGGTAGATTCGTATCGGAATTGTTCTGGTGGTAAAATTGTGCACATCCTACACGAATAAAACTATTAATATGTCATTTTCACCGACATTAAATTATTCATATGCATTTTTTACCCGCACGTCTCCGTCATTCCATATCCTTGTAAAATTGGACATAAAGTAACAGTCAGAAATTCTTGTGTCTCCTGCGCAATAGGAGCTCCACCTGAAAGAGCAAGTCGCAAGCGTCCACCGGTCTGTTCCCTAACCTTATTAAATATAGCAGTATCTAATACTTTAGTAGGCAAGCCCTTGTTCTGAAGCCATCTTTTTGTTTTGAACGCAGTATTGAATACTCTTTGCAATGTTGGACTGCCTGCATGAACCTTCGTCAAAATTCCTTTCCTAATAGATTCCCACACAGCAGGAACACCGGTCAACAGCGAGGGTTTAAATTCACGAATATCACCGGCGCAATTACGTACAGACGCATCAGTCAAAGTTCGTGTATTACCATAACCCATAGTTACACCCCACCAAATACATGTATGCTCTACAACAAATTCAAGCACATGGGCAAGGGGAAGGTAAGCAAGCAACGTATCATCCGGACGAACGAAAGTTTGTAACATTCTCTCGACACCAGCAACTATTTTTGAAAAAATTTAATTTACACCGATTAAATCAAGTACGGTCGATAAAAAGTATTTTTATTGATGTACTTACTCGCAGCTACCAAATTAGCATGAGTCAACATGACACCTTTAGGATTTCCGGTACCTAATATGACAAATAATTAATGATTTATTTAAACAATTTATTAAATTTTAAAATGATCGAAACTCACTTCCTGATGTATACATGATACAACAAAAATCCTGTGATGTTGGTGGGTTAGGCTCGGTTGGGTTATCTTTCCCCAACTGTTTAAGATCTTCTAAGGCAATAAACCGAATTTTTGGAACTAAAGCTTTTAATTCTTTTAAAACGTTTTCATCTGGATTGCCATCATAGACTAATAATTCAAGAGTTGGTATCTTTTCGATGACTTTTTTCACCACTGGAAAGAGATCTGCATTGGTAAAGATTGCTTGAACCTCAGATTCATTCATGGAGTGTAAGAGGCCCTGTTCCCCTAAAGTATCGTATGCAGTCACAATGGTGATTCCTTGTTCAAAGCACCCTAAAATGAAATGAGATATTAGAATTTTTACTTTAAACTCAATTATTTAAGTAGAATATTACCATGTGTAAAAAGCATCCAATTAATGCTATATCAAAGCAAAGAATGTTATTCACAAAAGCCGTTGAGATCATGAGCCAAATAATAAATGAAATAATTAATTACCTAGTAGATGCAAAAACAGTAACCTTCGCGTTTTTATGCACTCCCAATTTGACTAGACCGGCTCCGATCCACTTCGTATGTTCTGCAACTTCCACATAACTCAAATATGTAAAAGACGACAACTGAAAATACTTCCAAATTTTCTTCTCTTTATGTTCCTGTCCGTTAACTATTTTTGTAACCTCCTTCTCTTCTTCAACTACTTTCTCAATTGTCCTATAACCCATACATCTTTTATCACCGAATGTCTTAACACTATACTGAAGAACTTCGTATAGCGTAGTCACACCATCAGCCGGTGTGGTCAATAGTTCATTAGGAGATAATACAGAGCGACGAACGCGGGTTTCTCCTTTAACTTCAGGACCAATAGAAATACTTAGTTGTTTTTCCATTTCTGAAAAATCGAAAAATTTAAATAAGGGACATTATATATAAATCTCTGATGATTGTGACACGTGGTAAGTATGATGTAATGCGCGTGGAATTTAAAAATTTCATGTGAAGATTAAACCCCGATTTTTCTATCAAAAATGGAAAAAAAAAAAGGATTGATACTATTTTATTTATGACTTCGTTTATTATATTAATAATAATGTTATATGTATACAGTTTGTTACAAGCCTTTAATATAATACTTTTTATTATATGAGCATAATACGAATTTTAGAATCACAATTGCAGAATCCAAAAAAATTTCTGTTCACCTTTGAAAAATACTGTAATTATTCATATTAAGAAACATTATTACAAAATTTATTTGAAAATATAAAGTAATTATTTATTATATTAATGTATATAAAAATTTGGATTTGGATATTGATTTATATGAAAAATATTTTTTAATTTATATAATTTTAATAATATATTTTTTAATATTTAAATATTTAAATATTGTAAAAAATTTTAAAAACTCTTTATTGATTTTTTGAACTATTGTTCTAAATAGTATTTAGTAATAGTTAAAGAATTTTTATTTTATATAATCTATATACTTTTTTAAATTACTTTATTAAATGAAATAAAAAACCTTTTATTTTATTTTATTTTTAAAAATTTAAAAAAATCTAAATTTAAATAACAAAAAAAATATTTCAAAAAAAAAAAAAACTATAGCTTTAATTTTTTTTTATTTGTTTTTCAAAATAAAGAATTCAAAAGATATTATTTTTTAATTTAAACATATTAAAATTTAATTAAATATATTTTATTTTTTTAGATTTTAAAATCTTAATAAATTTTAAATTAATTTAAATTTATTAAAAACTAATTAATTAATATCTTGAATTAAATAATAATTATATATATAAAGTAAGTATAAATATTATAATTAAGAATTTTAATAATTTGATCCAATTTAATTTTTGATTTTCAGGTTTATATTAAATTTAATATATAGTATAATGCAAAAATTTTGAAATATTATTTATATAATATAAATATATATAACTTTTTCAAAACAAAAAAAATTTATAGAAAATTTTAAATATATAAACAACATATTCTAAACAATATATATATATACTTAAAATCCAATAGTGATTATCTTAAAAAGATTATAATATATAAATTAAAAACAATTGATCAATATTTATGTCATAATCTAAAACTTTTCTCAAGAACTTAGACAATTAAATTATTAAATATTAATATCAAAATATAATATTTAGCAATTTTAAGATATTTGGTTAATATGGATTACAAAAATAATTTACTTTTAAAAATATTTATACTTACTACTGCTTATAAAAAAGCTTATATTATTTGAATAAAAAAACATCTTAATAATAATTGAAAAAAAATATTATTTTTTGATAAAATAACACTTCAACTATTCAAAAAACAATTACTCAATGATATAAAGATACAAGACTAATTAAAAACTATATTAAAATCTTTATATAGAGAAAATTTTATATAAAAGAAAAAAAAAACTTTTTTTTTTTGTTTTATATATACAAAATTTTATATCAATATTTTGCAAAATTATAAATAAGAAGTTAATAAATTACTTGAAAACAATTGGTATTTTCAACAAAATAATAATTATAAGTATACAAATAAAATTGTTAAAGATTTTGAAATAAAAATTTTTCTGAAATTATTAATTGACCTTTTAATAATTCAGATTTAAATCTTATTAAAAACTTTTAAACTATTACTAAAATATATATTGTAAGAGGGACCAAAAAATTAGATAGATTTAACATATGTCATCCTCACCCAATTGGGGTTTAATTGGG